CCTTTTTTAATTTTTTCTTATATTTTAATTCGTCTTATTAATATTTGAATATCACACAGTACGACAAAAGGCTAAAGATATTACTAACCTTCTTCAAGATGATGAACGTCTTAATGCAGAGAGACGTCAAAGAGCCAATATGAGAGATAGATTAGCAGGTCATAATGAGTTACCCGGGTCAGTTAATAGAAATGTGGATCATGGATTTTATGAACATCCCGGAAATTTAGACGATGAAGATGCTGATATAAAAAAAGCTATTGCAGAAAGCTTAAAAACAGCAAACGAAGATGAGAAAAATAGGTAAAATTATGGTGATAATTTTTTACTTAGTTGTTTTTTAACTTAATGCTTCAGATTTTCACGATCTGTTTATTCCTGAATTATGTTAATGAAATGCAGTACTAAAGAAGAAGAAGATTTAAAGAGAGCACTTAAATTAAGTAAAGAGGAGGAAGAAAAGAGACAAGCAGTACTCGAAAAACAGAATGAACAATTGTTGTTTGATCCAGGGTTAGTCACACATTATTTTTTATATATATCTTTCAAAATACAAAATTTACCTGACTTACACTTTCATAAGCAGATATTCTTCCAACACCAATCAACTTCCACAACAACAAACAGACTTCTTTGGCAACCCGATAACACCATATACGAATTCTCAATTCAATCAGTTTAGTGGAAATCCGAACGGTCAACAATTGGATCCTTTTGGAGGATTAATTGACAACAAAGCTTTAACTAACAATCAATCACAATATTTGAATAATCCATATCAATTGCAACAACAATCAACAAATCCCTATCAGCAATCACCAATATTACAATCGAGTGTTACTATTGGATCAAACAATCCTTTTGGACCATTTACTCAACAACAGCTACAGCAACAACAGCTACAGCAACAACAGCTACAGCAACAACAGTTACAGAAGCAACAGCTACAGCAACAACAGCTGCAGCAACAACAGCTTCAGCAACAACAGCTGCAGCAACAACAGCTGCAGCAACAACAGCTGCAGCAACAACAGCTGCAGCAACAACAACTGCAACAACAACAGTTGCAACAACAACAGCTACAACAACAGCAACTACGAGCAAATTTTGGAACCACATCATATCCAACAACTAATAGCATTACTTCTTTTGGAAATTTGTC